GCAAATAAAGCTGGGATGAACATTTGTGTACAGATCTTTGTGGTTATAATGCTTTTAGTTTTCTTAGGAGTGGAAAGCTGGGTCCCATGGTAGGAGTATATTTAACTTCTTAAGAAATTGCCAAATTGTTTTCAAAAGTGGTTGTAACATTTTATATTCCCACAAGTGTCGCTTGAGTTTCAATTCTACATCCTTAGCATACTTGGTATGGTCACTCTTTTTTTAATTTTAGCTATTCTGCTGGGTGTTTAGTGGTAGATTTTTGTAGTTTTAATTTGCCTTTCCCTAAATGATATTGAGCATTCTTTTATGTGCTTATTTGCCATCCCAGTATATTCTGTTTTGAAGTATTTGTTCATATCTTTTCCTATTTAAAAAAATTGTAGTAAAAGACATATAACATAAAACTTACCATCTTAGGCATCTTTATTTTTTATTTTTTTAAAAAGATTTTATTTATTTATTTGAGAGGGACAGAGAGACAGAGAGAGCATGGGAGGGGGGAGGGTCAGAGCGAGAAGCAGACTCCAGTTGAGCAGGGAGCCTGATACGGGGCTTGATCCCGGGACTCCAGGATCATGACCCAAGCTGAAGGCAGATGTTTAACTGAGTGAGCCACCCAGGTGCCTCAACATTTTTATTTTTATTTTTTTTTAAAGATTTATTTATTAGAGAGAGAGAGAAAGAGTGTGCGTGTGTGTGGGGGGAGGGGCAGAGGGGCAGAGGGAGAGAGAGAAAGAGAATCCTCAAGTAGTCTCTGTGCTGAGTTCAAAGCCTGACTTGGGGCTTGATCCCAGGGCCCTGAGATCATTACCTGGGCCAAAATCAAGAGTCAGGCGTCTGTTCAACCAACTGAACCACCCAGGCATCCCCCATCTTACAGTATAGTAGCATTAAGTACAGTCACATTATTTTGCAACCAATTTTCAGAACTCTTCGTCTTGCAAAATGGTTACCTGTTTTAAGTATTGGGTTTGTTTTGAAATTTCTTTACATATTCCGATATAAATCCTGTGTCAGATATATGCTTTGCAATTATTTTCTCCCAGTCTTTGTTTTGTCTTTTCAGTTTATTGTGTAGCTTGAAATCAGCTAAGGCAGGAATGAATTACTCCACATTAATTGGGAAATTGCTACAAATCAGGGCTTGATTTATTGTTTGTTGATTGTCTATACTTAAGAAATGGGGAAAGTGTTAATCAGATTAAACTTAAAATTACGTTGTGTCCATAGCCCTTACATTATAAAAAGTGTAAGAAAGTATGGAAGGAAATATTCCTTCTAATACTGGAAAACTGTTATCTAATCAGCAGAGAACTCATTCAGGTCAGACATATGTCTTCATTGTTCCAACCTTGTCAGTTGAAACCATCACTTGGTTATGGTTATAAGAATTAGCGTGAAAGCCCATTCTGTGACAATCAATTGACTGTGTGGAATTTGCGATAAAGAGAATTATGTATTTTTCGTTATTTGTAAATTGTGTGGTACATATCTTTTTATCTCAGTAGAGTTTATATTAAGCTTATGTACATAGGTATACATTTTTTCTTTTTTTTCTGCAGAGACAGTTGTTAAATATTTACCAACATACCACTGGCCACACACTAATAAGTAAGCGCCAGGAAAATGTGTTTTAGACTCATGTAACTTAAATGAGTAAAGAAATAAAAATGAGGTCAGGAAACAAAGTCATTCCATAGGTGATAAGAGAACCAAATCTAATTCTGAGACCAAAAAATGAAAGGGATGAGTAGTAGGGAAAGAAAATGAAAAGCACAATACACAGAAGGCCAAGTCAGTTCTCTTATTACTAAAGACACAGAAGAAGTGAGTTATTTTCTTCTAGGAGTTTTATGGTTTCAGGTCTCACAGTTAGTTCTTCAATCCATTTGGAATTTATTTTTGTATATGGTATAAGAAAGTGGTCCATTTTCATTCTTTTGCATATAGCTGTCCAGTTTTCCCAATACCATTTGTTGAAGAGACTGTTTCTTCCCTATTGTAAATCCTTGCCTCCTTTGTTATAGATTAATTGACCATATAAGCATGGATTTATTTCTAGGCCCCCTATTCAGTTCCATTGATCTGTTTTTGTGCCAATACTGTACTCCCCCCCGTCCCCCAGCCGGGGAGCAAAACATTAACATTTATTTGTTGAGCTTTTTTTTTAATTAATTTTATTTTATTATGTTATGTTAGTCACCATACATTACATCATTAGTTTTTGATGTAGTGTTCCATGATTCATTGTTTGCGTGTAACACCCAGTACTCCATGCAATACGTGCCCTCCTTAATACCCATCACCGGGCTAACGCATCCCCCCACCTCTAAAACCCTCAGTTTGTTTCTCAGAGTCCATAGTTTCTCATGGTTCGTCTCCCCCTCCAATTTCCCCCCTTCATTTTTCCCTTCCTACTATCTTCTTCTTCTTTTTTTTTTTAACATATGTATTATTTGTTTCAGAGGTCCAGGTCTGTGATTCATCAGTCTTACACAATTCACAGCGCTCATCATAGCACATACCCTCCCCAGTTTCTACCAACCATCCACCCCATCCCCCCCATCCCTCCCACCCCCCACCACTCCAGCAACCCTCAGTTTTTTCCTGAGATTAAGAGTCTCTTATGGTTCGTCTCCCTCTCTGGTTTCATCTTGTTTCATTTTTCCCTCCCTTCCCCTATGACCCTCTGTCTTGTTTCTCAAATTCCTCATATCAGTGAGATCATATGATACTTTTCTTTCTCTGATTGACTTACTTTGCTTAGCATAATACCCTCTAGTTCCATCCACGTCATTGCAAATGGCAAGATTTTTTTTTTGATGGCTGCATAATATTCCATTGTGTGTGTGTGTGTGTGTGTGTGTGTGTGTGTGTGTGTATACACACCACATCTTCTTTATCCATTCATCTGTTGATGGACATCTAGGCTCTTTCCACAGTTTGGCTATTGTGGACATTGCTGCTGTAAACATCGGGGTGCACATACCCCTTCGGATCCCTACATTTGTATCTTTGGGGTAAATAGCCAGTAGTGCAATTGCTAATACCATACTCTTTTAATTACTATAGCTTTGAAATCTGGGATTCTGATATTCAGCTTTGCTCCTCTTTCTCAAGATTGCTTTGGCTATTTGGGGTCTTTTGTGGTTCCATACAAATTTTAGTGTTATTTGTTCTAGTTCTATGAAAAATACTGTTCGTATTTTGATAGAGATTGCTTTGGCTGTAGAAACATTTTTCTAGATAACTCTTTAGGCAAGGGAAACAAAAGCAAAAATAAACTATTGAGACTATACCAAAATAAAAAGCTTTTGTACAGCCAAAGAAACCATCAACAAAACAAAAAGACAGCCCATTGAATGAGAGAAGATATTTGCAAATGATATATCTGATAAGGAGTTTATATCTAAAATATATAAAGAACTTCTACAACTCAGTAACAAAAAACCAAATAATCTGATAAAAATGGGCAGAGGACCTGAGTAGACATTTTTCCAAAGAAGACATACAGATGGCCAATAGACACATTGGAAAGATGCTTAACATCACGAATCATCAGGGGAGTGCAAATCAAAACCACATTGAGAAATCACCTTACACCCGTTAGAGTGGCTAGAATCAAAAAGCCAAGAAATAAGTGTTAGTGAGGATGTGAAGAAAAAGGAACCCTCTTGCACTGTTGGTGGGAATGCAAATTGGTGCACCCACTGTGGAAAACAGTATGGAGGTTCCTCAAAAAACTAAAAGTAGGGGGGCGCCTGGGTGGCTCAGTTGGTTAAGTGTTTGCCTTTGGCTCAGGTCATGATCTCAGGGTCCTGGGATTGAGCTCCTCATTGGGCTCCCTCCCTGCCCAGTGGGAAGTCTGTTTCTCCCTCTGCCCCTCCCCCTATTCATGGACGCTTTCTCTCTCTCTCTCTCTCTCTCTCAAATAAATAAATAAAATCTTAAAATAAATTAAAAGTAGAATTGCTACATGATCCAGTAATTCCACTACTCGGTATTTACCCAATGAAAATGAAAACACTGATTTGAAAAGTTACATGCCCCCCCTACATTTATTGCAGCATTATTCACAATAGCCAAGATAGGGAAGGAACCTAAGTGTCCATCAGTATAGATGAATGGATAAAGAAGATGTGATACACACACACACACACATGCACGTGCACATGGACACACACACACAATGGAATATTAGCCATAAAAAGAATGCGATCTCGCCATTTGCGACAACATGGATGGACTTAGAGGGTATAAATGCCTAGTGAAATAAGTCAGAGAAAGACAGATACAATATGATTTTACTCATATGTAAGATGTAAAAAAAAAAAAATGAACAAAGGAAAAAAAGAGACCAAAAAACTGACTATTAAATACAGAGAACAAACTGGTGGTTGCCAGAGAGGGGGATGTTAGTGGGATGATGGGTTAAATAGGTAAGAGATTAGGAGTATACTTCTCGATGAGCACAGAGAAATGTATAGAATTCCTGAATCATATGTTGTACACCTGAAATAATGTAATACTGTATGTTAATTATACTTAAATTTTTAAAAAGTATAAAAATTAAAAGAAATTAGAAAAAGAAGGTGGGTTGTTATTGTAGGGTATTTGTTTTTGTCTGATTTGACTTGCTCTTGGTCTTATTGCTATGTAATAGTCTGCTAACAATATTGAAGAGGAATGTTCAAAACTCATATATTATTAGTATTACGTTAGCAACTTCAAGTAAGCCTGGAATAGCTAAATATAATTTGTTCTTAAGACCAAAAAAAATTACAAAATACTTTTTAGAATTTAAAATTGGAGCATAGAACAATTATGTGTTTTCTGTTGTCTGCTAGAATTTGCAACATTAGCTACATTGCTTTTTTATCTATACACTCAATTCTGTAATGTTTACTGTAGTTATATTTCTTTCAAAAGGTTTTTTCTTTTGAGAATATCTTGATTTTGAATCTGATGATTAAGTTTAAAAACATTTTGTTTTGTAGCCATGCAGGATATACATACTGTGGGTCCTGTGCTGCTCATGCTTACAAACAAGTGGATCCCTCCATTACGTAAGTAATACACAGTTTTGTTTAAGTGGGAGAAGGTTGGGAATTATAACCACTTTGTCACAGAAGTAATTTGTTTTGGCATGCTTATTGTTAATACTTGATTTCATTAGGAATTTAACTTTTTATATATTTATTATACATTATATAGGTTATGAAAAGCTTTCATACTGTTTTTCATTGTCTGAACATTTAGTTTTTACTTTTCCTTTTGTTGGTAATATGTTTAGTTCTGGAAATATAGGAAGGTTAAATATTTTGGTTTTTAAATTTTTTTTTGCAACCAGGAGATGAGCATCTTTAAGAATGCAAAGCACATTGTTCTATGTTAATCAGTTTGTAATTTAAAATTCTTTATTCTACTTGTTAAGTTGTGGTTAATGAAAGAAAATAATTTCTCATTGGCATGATGAGGTAGCTGAATTATTTTAGAATCTGACAGTGAATTTAATATGGTGTTTGAAGTATGTTAGCTCTTAACTCAATGAGAGCTCTGAAATTAGCTTTAAAATTTTTTTCTGGCAGATTGAGACTTACTAAATAATATACTGCTCTCTAAAATAAGAAATTTGTGAACTTTCAAAACCTTCTGCTAGAAATAGCCACCCAAATTACTTAATTTGCTGACCAGCATTTTATTTAAATAGTTAATTCACAAATGTGAACCAGTGTCAGGCTCCAGTGTGTACGCTGTTATACACACTGTGCAAATAGGTAAAATCAGTCGTCTCAATCCTGTCAGCTGTTGATTGTTAGGTTAGACTTCTGTTAGTAGAGGTGACGCATAGTCATTCAAAAGAAGTAACTCACAGCAGCCCTGATGTAAAAAGAGTCACTCCCACAGCCTCATCCTTTGCCTTTGAGCAATTTGTTCAAATTTTTAAACAAAAGAGCTGTTCTTTTTTGTTTTTATGTAGTGTGCTCTGCACATTGTATCATACCTTTGTTGGAAATTATTTTTAGTAAGTTTTTAATAATAAATAAAATGATAATGTTGCCAAATTGATGAGGTTTTGGTTAGCCCTGCCTCATTTATGATGTTTTGAGGTGTGTCTTTAATAAGTACTTCTTAATACATATTTAATATACAATTTCAGGTAATTTATTTCATGAGTAAGAACAAAAATAAATTAGATTGGAAAGATTTTCAAAAGTTTCCTTCATTTCGGCCTATAAACAACTATAATCAAGGTTAGTTAATATGACAGCCTTTTGCATGCCTATTTGATGATGTTATTTTCTAGAACGGTACTTCTGAATTAAATTTGGCTTAGTAATATGTAGGGAGATGTAGAACCTATATTGGTAGATGCAGAAAGCATGTATTAAATAAGTTGATAGCAAGTTTGAATGGAATGAAAAAGAGAAAAAAGGAAGAGAGCCAAGGACTAAGATGATGATAAAGGAAGTGGTAAAAAGAAAGGCAAATGATATGTGAAGATGTGATCAGCTTATTTTTGTAATTAGTGTATAATAATTGAATTTTGAATAAATAAATCTGAAGGTCCAAGCATTAAAAATAATTGGTAATCATAGCTATATTCTCTTAAAAGTGGCCCTTTTGAGACTGGCAATGTTTCAGAGTCCTTTGAGAAAAATAGAGAAAGAACATCTTTCTGGGAACTATGAGAAGTTTAGAGAAAAAATAACAGTCCAAGAGAGAAGATTAAATTCTCTGTCACTAGCTTCCATTCTTACCTTCCACGTTAATCCATTCCCTGCATGTCAACCAGGATCATCTTTTGTACGGTCTTGTGCTTTGAATGGATCTTTTACCTTTGCATGATTTTGTAATATCTTACATGGAACATTTAGAAGATATTTCTTTCTTTCTTTCTTCCTTTCTTCCTTTCTTTCTTTCTTTTTCTTTCTTTCTTTCTTTCTTTCTTCCTTCCTTCCTTCCTTCCTTCCTTCCTTCCTTCCTTTCTTTCTTTCTTTCTTTCTTTCTTTCTTTTTCTTTTTAAGATTTTATTTATTTATTTGACAGAGAGAGAGAGTGAGAGCAGAAACACAAGCAGGGGGAGTGGGAGAGGGAGAAGCAGGCTTCCTGCGGAGCTGGGAGCCCGATGCAGGGCTCGATCCCAGGACTCTGGATTCATGACCTGAGCCGAAGGCAGACGCTTAACGACTGAGCCACCCAGGCGCCCCTAGAAGATATTTCCTAATTGAATTATGCAGATCTTTTGAATGTTGACATTTCATCATACAGTGCCAAAAAATCACATTTGTTAATATCACTACAAATTTCATCAGAAATATCTTTAATTATTGGGAAGCTGTCCATCTCACAGTGATAGAAGTTTTGCAAAAGTCTAATTTTCACTTAAAAGCTTCAGTTATGTCTTGGGCAATGTTTTCTTTGAAGTTGGCAGGCCCATTTTGTTCATTTTCTAGAAAATTTCTGCCAGATACCTAAATTGGAATAGCCGTGATTTGTCTACAGTCATTTTTTTGAAGTAAAAATTGTGTTCCATGAAAAAAAATGTCTAGTTTAGATCACACTCATAATCACACAAATGTTTTCCCCAAGACATAATTCTGTATATAGCAAAAGTGCTTTGTGCATTTATCACCACCAATTTAATACATTTTGTTGTACAGAATATTTTTATAAAACTGTATTCAGAATTCAAGATTTAATGAAATTAAGTGAAACTGGACTAAAAATACCCAAAAAACCTTGGTGTGGGTGAAGGTGAAGAATACATGACTAGCAGTACATTTTGATTCCATTACCTTGATCACAGTTCTAATGTGCCAGTGGTTTACCCAGCCTCATTTTTGTACTGTAAGAACGAATGTCAACACAGTGGAAAAGGCAAATAAATTCCTGATTATTATGAAAATAGTTTTGATTTTGTGGACTTCTTGAGAGGGTCTTGTGGAATCCACAGTTCACAATTTGAGAAGTGCTCTGATACAGGGTGATTGGATTTAGATTATGGGTGTTGGGGAAGGCATTTCTTTTTTTTTTTTTTTTTAAGATTTTATTTATTTATTTGAGAGAGAAAGAATGAGAGACAGAGAGCATGAGAGGGAGGAGGGTCAGAGGGAGAAGCAGACTCCCTGCTGAGCAGGGAGCCCGATGCGGGACTCGATCCTGGGACTCCAGGATCATGAACTGAGCCAAAGGCAGTCGCTTAACCAACTGAGTCACCCAGGCGCCCCGGGGAAGGCATTTCTGAGGAAATGATTTTTAAGCCAAGCCAAAGGAACAATAGCACTTGTGAAGGCTTTGAAGTAGGCTGAGTTGTGTTCCAGTCATAAAGGAACTGCAAGACCAGTATACGTAAACTATTGTGATTAAGGGGTGGTGGTGGTGGGGGGGGAAGTAATGCATGATGGGGCCAGCGCATTTGAGACTTCAGAACCCGTTTTAAGGATTTTAGATTTTATCCTCTAATTATGAAAGGTTATTGAAAGATCTTTTAAGCAGGGGAGTGATGGGATCTGATTTATGTTTCAAAAGGAGTACTTTGGTTGTTTAAGGAATTAAAAAATGATATATTTAAGTAAGTTGTCATATTTACTGTTGCAAAGTCTTTTGCTAGTACTAAAACTTTATTGAAAACCTGGAACTCAGGATGTACTTAGATAGTAACTTGATTTTGATTCAGATTTTTCAGAAAGCCTTACAGGGTAGAAAAAAGAGCAAAAGGAATCTTCTTTGGAGCCACATGACATTTAATTTAGTTAAGATATCTCTAACTTGCCAGGAAACATCTTTAAAAAGTTACTTGTATTCCATTATTTAAAATAAGTAGTTGAATATTTATGAGGGCAGATACTCAGGTAACTTATTTATTGGTTGCACAGACTATACTTCTCATAGTAAGTAACTCCACAAATGTGAATTCTCTGGAGGTATTATACATAAAGAACGAATGTCAACACAGTGGAAAAGGCAAATAAATTCCTGATTTATTTGCCTTTCCTACATTTATTTCTAAGAGAATACCTCTTGACTTTTTTTCATATTAAGGGTTTTTTTTTTTTTTTTTACATGTGTGACAACGGTGATGATATGCTAATATTTATCAGTTATTCATTTAAAGGCAAAGCACTTTGCAATTAATTGAAGGGAGAGAAAGCGGCATTGCTTCCCATGCTTATATTACTCGTTTTTCTCCAAAATATTCCTGTGGCCTTGGTGTTTATGGATCTAGCAATCTAGCCCCCCCCAAAGAAAATGCATTATTTTTTATTTACATTATTAATTTTCTTTTTGTTAGCATAAGCTAACAAAGAGACCCATTTTTAGATTACTAATAGGCACTTTATCCCCCTTCTTTTCAATGATGTCTAGCCTATTTTTTGGTTTATTTTTGGGTTTATCACTTACAAGTTTTTCATATTGATGTGACCTAAACCTCTTTTTCCCTGTGTTGCATATGAGTGAGTTTCTGTTAGACTGGAAAGAAGAGGACACAATTGTCTAATTTAGATGGTGGGAGCTCTTTTCTCCACCAGTCTTATCTTTGCATCTAGGTTGGGTCTGGCAAAAAAGGCCAACAAAGTAAATAGTCTGATATTGCAGGGGACAATTAGGCTTTCCAAGGTGACCTTCAGTGTTTATTTCTGGAGTAGTGCTTGTATTTTGGTCACTATTAGAACCTTGTTACACTTACCTAGAAATGTATCTGTGTCTTGAGTTTTTTTTGTGTGTATGTGTGTGTCTTGAGTTTAAATTAATATTTTAAAAGTCATTTCATATTTTAGTTATATATGCTAGACTTCCTAAGAGTATTCTGATTTTAAATATTCTATTCCTCTGTCTTGTCATAGAAATGCATTCCTCAATCATGAAAATGCCTTCATTTTCATACTTGATTCTTGGTTCATGTAATACTTGTCCTTAGGCAAGTCACCTAAGCACTCAACCATGATCTATGTCCCTTTAATTTAAAAACTTGTGATGATGTTTATGTACTGTTAAAATAGGAGAGCATAATGGTTACCATTTTTGTTTATTTAGGAGTCTAAATTTGATGTGATTTTTTATTTTTTGGAAATGGCTGTTGACTTTGCTTATAGTGGTGATGATAAGAAGTGAGTATTGGCAGTGGAGGCAGGGGATGAAAAGACTAGACGTGGCCTGTGGATCAAGTCTTATGTTTGCTATCTGGGACATCCTGAGGAAGTTTTGGGACTCTAAACTGAGAATCTCTGTTTTCCTTATCCACATCTTCCTTACCGTCCCTCCCCCCACCACAGCAAGTAACATATAGCAGACAATAAGTTAATTTTCATAACTGTGATTGAATTTTATGAAAATAAATATATTGCCTACGCACATTCCCTGGCTTGCAAGTTTTTGATATGAAAGAACTAGCTCATGTCTCAGTCTTTGTCCATTAATTGAGTGATGAGTGTAATTAATTTTTTCTAGGTACATAGCTTATCATCTATTCCCTACTTTCTCCTAGTTTTGGTTTTTCAAAAAGTAAGTTTGTATGTGTGTGTTGGGGGAGGTTTCGTTCATTTGAATCTGGGAGAACAGAGAAAATGGATAGTTTTGGAATTTAGATTGTAGTGATGTTTGAGATAAAATGAGGGGAAGTGAATTTTACTCTTGATGTCAAGATAAAGGGATTGTAAAGATTTAAGCTATAGTTTAGCCCACTTCTTTTCTTTAGCTACAGTGCAAATAACACATAATCAAGTTTCTTTGTTTTTGAGAATGACTTCTATCTACTTGAATGGGAACAGGGAAAGCTTATTATACAGAATTTTTCTCAACAAGATTCCTTTTTTCTCTCCTATGGTAGAAATGTGGAAATAGCTTTATCAGAATGGCTCTTTGTAATGATATTTTGTAGGGAGTTTTAGAAATTATACTATCATGTATTTTTATTAAAGTTTATTAAAGTTTTATAAAGTGTATTAAAGTTTATTAAAGTTGGTAGATCTTATGAGGCAAGTTTAGAATGTGTTAGAATTTTGAGATTTTATTTATAGCTGAAATGTTTAAATTCAATGAATATAGCTATTGAAAACCTTCTGTATCCTAGGCATTATGAATGCAGAGATGATTTTAAGCATAGCAGTTGATTTACGGTAGGTCATTAAATCAGTAACTAGTATGGTTCTTTTTTTTTTTTTTGAAATGGTCCAACAAAAAGACGAAAGATGAGGCATTGAACTTAATTAACTGAGGATCAAATCAGTTGTGGGTATATTAGTTTGCTGGCGCTGCCATAATAAACTATCACGAAGTAGGTGACTGAAAACAGAAATTTATTTTCTCTCAGTCTGGAGGCTGGAAGTCCAAGATGAGGGTGCTGGTAGGGTTGGTCTCCTGAAGCCTTTCTTCTTGGCTTGCAGATGGCTGTCTTCTTGATGCCTCTTCACATGGTCACCTCTCTGTGCATTTGTGCCCGTGATATCTCTTCCTCTTCTTATAAGAACACCAGTTATTGAATTCAGGCCTTATCTGAATAGCCTCATTTTTACTTAATGATCTGTTTTAATACCTTATCTCCTAATATGGTTACATTCTGAGGTACTGGGGTGGAACTTCAACATAAATTTTAGGGGTACATAATTTAGCTCATAATAGTAGGTAATGAAATCAGTTAAGAAAGAAAATGGTGCCACATGTGATTTTAAAAATTACTTATTTTTTTCCCTTTTATTTAATAAGGTTTGTGTAGAAGTACAATTGTTCTGTGCTTTTTGTTGTATATCTCCTAGCCGGAGAATTTTCATCCTTGGGCCTTCTCATCATGTGCCCCTCTCTCGATGTGCACTTTCCAGTGTGGATATATATAGGACACCTCTGTATGACCTTCGTATTGACCAAAAGAGTAAGTATATAGAAATCTTATAGCTTTAAAACAGCTAAAGATTTTTTTAAAACAAGTTAATTAAAAAAATTAAAAATATGAATATCATAAGTAAGATCTCAGTTTTAAAGATAAAATTGATTTCAACGTATTTGCAAAAAGCAAAAACAAAGAAAGAAGATCTTCTGTATGCCTAAAAGACAACTAGAGTTTTTTTTGCCAGTCACAACACAAAAATCTGTCAGATCCCCTGGTCTCCAGCCTATTCATATTACATGTGTATTCAGGGAAGTGTCTTGTACTCACTGTACCATGAGACAAGAAATTAGTACCCACAACAACTTGAAGAAAGATTCTGGGCATGTTAGTCTGACTCTATGTATATTACTTTCCTCATTGTAAATAGGTCATGATGATAATGCCATTATTTCTTCTCAGATGATTTTTATGGGGGCAACAAAAGTGAAACACTAAACAAAGGTGCTTCATAAATCTTAAGTGTATTTTATTTTTAAAACATGTCTCTTATTTTGATATATATTTTCCATAGGATTCTAGAAATCACACCTTTTATTTAGTTGTGTCTCATTTTATACACTGAATGTGTAAATTAAAATCTTTTGATTTTACAATAGTATTTTTGGAGGAGTGGGGAGCGTAATTTTAAAAATATAGAATAGAGAGAATAGTGAAACAAATATTCTTGTACTTCCCATCCACAGTTGACTCAGAATTTTCCCCTTAACTCAGTTTGCTTTCCCAAAAGCCATCTTCATGAGTTTGCTTTGTATTCTTCCCGTTCATCACATTATATTTTAAGTATGTTGGGTGCTTATTGTTTCAAGAAATCTTGGAACAAATTCTTCTGTAGGATGAAAGAAGCCATTTGCAAAATAGACAATCACGTCTTTTTCCTTATTTTTAGGCCTAATTTTTCATAAACGGGGTTTTAATTATTACTGAGTATTAGTAATTTGTTGTTAGAATAATTTTTACTAATGAAACTGGAGTATAACTAGCCTTATTACTCCCTGTGATGCTTTTAGGGAACACACTTTATTTTTAAAATCTTGTTGGGGCATTCAGAAAATTTTGGTTTTAGATAGCTTCCTAATAAAGGAATGGATGATATTTAATCAGGTGTAATTTTGCAGAAAAAATGTCATGCCATCATTTGTTTGTTTCTTTGATATTGGTAAGCCCATTTAAGAATGTAGTTATAAAAATGTTCTGTTTTATGATAAAACAAAAATATTCTTATATTACTTTTTTTACATATTAAATTTCATCTTTTATTATATCATATCAATTTTTAAGTATAATTCATCAGAAGGGTCTGAATTACTAGATCATTTTAGAATTATTTATGGCATGATACTATGGTGAATTTATGTCCTGGTCTGTCCCAGAAGCTTAATTTTTAATTTTGAGGAAAATAATATGCTTAATAGGAATTTTCTGTTCTTTGTCTGGCAGACATCTGAGATGGGAAATAATAATCCCATAGATTTTGTTATAAAACAAAACAAAACTTAAAAACTATATCATTAACCTCACGAGTAGGTAGAGCAGTGGCTTTGCCATGTTTTCCTAGGAGTTCTAATCAACTGTGTTCTTGTTGGCATGTGCTGCTTAAGTCAAGAAAAAGCTTAGACCCAGAGGTGATTTTAGATGTAATAGAAAGAACTGATGAACATTTTAAATGATTATTTTTATATAACCGTGTAACATACGAAAATGCTGAGTAGTCATCACATGTATTATTGCTTTGTTTGGTATGTAAAAAGCTAGTTTTTTCTTCTTTTTTAAAGATAAAAATGAAGGAAAATATTATGTGGTACTTCTGTCTCTTCCCAAAGCATGTAGTTTTTTGTTACTGAATGGAGTCTCACAGAATGAGGATATACATTAATATATCTGTTTTACTATATTTTGAAATCTCTTTAGTTTACGGAGAACTATGGAAGACAGGAATGTTTGAACGCATGTCTCTGCAGACAGATGAAGATGAACACAGTATTGAAATGCATTTGCCTTATACAGCTAAAGCCATGGAAAGGTATATTGATTAATATAAGAAATCCCAGAGAAATCATAAGTATTAATTTCTTTGGAATTATTTTCACTGGGTAAAATAATCATTAGGATAAAGAGATTTAAAAAAATTTTTGTTATTTGAGGGATGGCTGGCTCAGTCAGTAGATCCTGCAACTCTCAATCTCAGTGTTGTGAGTTTGAGCCCTACATTGGGTGTAGAGATTTCTTAAAAATAAAAAAATCCTTAAAAAAATTTTACTATTTGAAATGATGTAAAAATTTGAGATTGGATGTTTCTAATGTGGATTGAAGTTGGTTTTGAGTAGTTTGCCTATAAAGGCTGAACATGTGAGTTGACATGGTTTTTTATTAGGTGATAATGTTTCAAAAACCTCTGTGTGTATTTGAGTGGGGTGTGTGTGTGTGTGTCTGCCTTTTATTCATTAGACATTTATCTCAGAATAACAAATTCTTTTATGCTATAAGTAGGTAATCATAAAATTTTAGATTTGGAAGTAACATTGGAGCTCATTTATTTCATCCTTATGCAAAGTACCTGAATATTTTTTATGATATGCTTGGCAGATTATTGTTTGGTACTAGCTAAAGGTCTTCCAGTGGTGGGATGCTCATACGACTATTAAGTAGGATGAGGACAGGGACAATACCTATTTTATTCTCCACTTGTATCCCACTGCCTAGCACAATACCCATTTCATAGTAGTCATTAATTTATTTTGTAAAATGAGATAATTTTTAAAGAGCTTTCTTCTTTTAGGGCAGTATTCAAATTAGAAAGTCTTCCTTTTGTAGTCACATATGTCTAATTTTTTCTTTTTTTTTTTTTTAAGATTTTATTTATTCATTTGACAGAGATAGATACAGCGAGAGAGGGAACACAAGCAGGGGGAATGGGAGAGGGAGAAGCAGGCTTCCCGCAGAGTGAGGAGCCTGATGCAGGGCTCGATCCCAGGACCCCGGGATCATGACCTGAGCCAAATGCAGATGCTTAACGACTGAGCCACCCAGGCGCCCCTAATTTTTTCAACCATTTCCTTTACATGAACTTAATATTCCATATATAGTTCAACTAGTTCTAAATATGGTGAGATTATTCCTTCCCTGGATCTTGTCATTATATTCTCTTAGTAAAATACATGGTGTATTATATAGGTTTACAGTAAATATTTGTTAATTAAATGTATTAAGGAAGTCCAAGATCACATTGACATTTTTCATGTTGGTATGGCTTACTTGCTATTGGCTAATACATTTGTGGCCAGCTAAAGCCCAAGGCTTTTTCCTACAGTTAAGTTGGATTATTTTCTCTCTTGTACTTTTGTGGTTTCTTTTTAACCCTTAGTTACTACTGTTTAATTTTTCCTTGTTGGTTTTAGTCTATTATGGCACTCTTTTTGGATCATTTCTACTCCTAATTCTCTTATGAGAGAGTTGTTTAACTTCTCTCATTCTACATCTATTCACAATGGTAACTATGATGCATTGTGTAAATCTGAAGAAGTTTCCAAAAAATCAGTGTGATATTAAATTATAAGCAGTATAATTTTAGGTTAATTGTGTTTTACCACATTCTAATCCTTCAGAAATTGTTAAACGAATATATGCTCTTTATTTCCTGGAATGCTAGTATAATCAGGACATTCCATTCTTCAATTACGTAGAATAATATAAAGCCTTTGTTATTTCTTGAAATATTTGCATATTTTGTCATGAGAAAATATATTTTAGACTTAAGAAAGCCAACAATATCCTTAAGGAAGTTTTAACAAAATAATATTTTTGTTGTTATTTCAAAAGTAAAACATGTAATGTTGAAAATTTAGGAAAATAGTAACTTAAAATCAACCAAAATTCCTGTTCGTAATTCCCCCTCTATTAAATAGTGTTAAATAACCACTATTAAATATATCACTTCTCAAGAGATTTTCCCTCTCTCCCAGATTACATTTGCATCTCTAATACTGACTTTTAGAAAGTACCCAGTACTTTTCCGTTGTAGTCTTTGCTGCACTCACTACCTGTATTACTTATCCATTACTGTGTGAGAGATTGCTCCAAAACTTAGTGGTTTAAAATCACAACTATTACTCTAAAAATTATTGCTCACAAATTTTAGGTCAGGAGTTTGGGCAGGGCCTTGCTTTGGTCCATGAGATGTTGACTGAAGTAAGTTGAGTGAGGCTCGTGGATCCAAGATGGCCTTGGTGTTAGCTTTTATTTGAGACACCTCATTTCTTCTCTAGATGGTCTATTTGTTCATCAACCAGGGCTTTTCTCTCTTCTTGGCTTCTCTCTAGAAGGATAGCCTGGATTTTTTTACATGGTGATTTAGGGTAACCAGAGAACAAAAACAAAAGTTCCCAGTCTCTTAAGGCCTCGGCCTGAAACTACACAGCATCATTTTTGTCACATTCTCTTTTTAAAAGCAGAACACAGTATTAGCCAAGGTTTAAGGGAAGGAGAAATAGATTCCACTTCTTGATGGGAGAAGTAGCATGTGTATATTCAGGAATAAGAGGAATTGTTGGTAGCCATCTTTGCAGATGGACTATGTCACAGTTCTTCTGATGGACAATTCAGTGTCTCTCCACCATGCAGTACTCAGTCCTCCTAAGATGCCCAGAAATCTCATTCAGTTAGGACCTCAGGTTCAAAGTCCATTACCTTATGATTTGCATTAGGTCATGATGTGGATGAGGCGTTCTGGGTACAGCTCCTCTTGATTTGGATACCTGTGAACTAAGAAGACAAGTTTTACCCCACCCCCACCCGCCATTCACGCCATATACAATTTTGAGACAGGAATTTAAAAAAAATTGTTTTTAAAGATTTTATTTATTTATTTGATAGCGGGAGAGCACAGGCAGGGGGAGCGGCAGAGGGAGAGGCAGAGGGAGAAGCAGGCTCTCCGCTGAGCAGGGAGCCTGACAAGGAGCTCGATCCCACGACCGTGGAATCATCACCTGAGGCAAAGGCAGACGGCTTAACCAACTAAGCCACCCAGGCGCCCTGAGACAGGAATTCTTAACCACACAATAGATACTCTCTGTGGAGAGTGAAAGAATGGGAGGCATATAGCAGCCTCTGATCCAAAGCAATTCTGAAATCTAATCAGGGAACAGAGAATGTTCTTTGATTGGGGCTTGGTTCTGACTTGTAGTAGTGGCTTCATAATTCCTTACTTTTCTGAGCTCTTGGCTTGGTCTTTTGGGCTCTTGGCTCTACTCACTGACTCATTTTGACTTCTCCATAAGAAATGGGCTTTGTTTACACCTGAGTATTCATTTCCGTCTGCTTCATGTATGTGACAGTTTGAAAACTTAAAGGCCTCTTTTCATTTGGAACAGTGTTATTTTAGTCTAAACTGGTCGAACTCCATTAAACATTGTGGATTTTCTGTGTATCAGATTATAAGTGCATTCCATTAGGCAATAGTCACATCCACAGTTCAGTGAGTGACAGGACTCTCTCTACTTTGGATCCCAATATAGGGTCCTATAAGGTTCTTAGTAGCCCTTTTGCCTACCTGAGAGAGAATGTAAGCCTTATCTTATTAAGTCTTTCTGTGGTCTTAATAAAGGATTTTATAGATGAATTTTTGATTTGATGATTGTGAGCCCATGATTTATTGGCAGTACTCTGGATTTGTTCTTTGTCTTCATGTTTCTTTGACAATCTTTTGCTATTTGTAGAGGCTAGTGAGGAGAAACAACTCTTTTCCAACCAAGCAACTCTCGTGTAGAAATATTTCCTTTAAATTCTGCTTGTAATTCCTTAGCTCATGTTTTTCTTTTTTTACCTTCTCATACTTGGCTACAAAGTAGCCAGTGACACTTTGAATATTTTGGCTGGAAATCCTAGCTAGATCTATAATAGGTTCACTAGGTATATTTTTAATGTCCCAAGTTATTATACATGTGCTCATTCTGCTGATTGTTCTGCCCATATATAATATGGGCCCCTCTTCTTCTGGCCTTGTATGGCCGTTTCCTTACTGCTCTGGCAGTTCCCTGTCTCCTTCTCGCCCTTCCAGCTTCTGCCTGCCTCAGTGTCCTCAACGCCAGTGTTTTAGGTTTCTGTTCCAGTAGTACCCTTTCCAAGCACCACTTTTTATCTCACGTACCTATTGTAGCATAACAAATCACCTCAAAGTGCCTATGTTTTTTGCTTATGACTCTGTGAACTAGAAATTTGGTCAGGGGTGAGTGGTGACAACTTGTCTGTGTTTCGTCTGCTGCTAGTTAAAGCAGGCTGACTTAGGCTGAAGGCTCTAGGGCACCCTCACTTCTTGTCTGGGGCTGCGATGCTGGTTGTCTACTGAAGCACCTTCGTTCTTGTCTCAGTGCTCTCCATCTCACCTGTTGTCACTTATCCTTCAGGGCCTCTCTCCTTATATGGTATCCCTCTCCTCGGATAGGCATGGACTATCATGAAGTACATGGCAGTTCAGGGCAGCAAGAAAGCAAAACTAGAAATTTTCAGGCATTTTAATATCTGGGTTTGGAACTGGCACAGTGTTACTTAGGCTGCATTCTCCTCATCCGAGCAAGTTGCAAGGCTAGGTTCAAGGGGGGAGGGAGAAAGAGATTCTGCTTTGGATGGGAGGGGTGACGTGGGCATTCAGAAGTGGGAGGAATTTTCAGGGGATTATACTTGAAGATAGCTTACCATAGTACCACTGTAATTAAATAGCTCTTTTGGTGATTGCCTGCATATGTCCCCCTTCCTTGGTAGTCCCCTAGCTGCTCCCTGCCAGAGGACAGCTAGCTTTTACTGTACTTTCTGTGCCCAGCTCAGGACCTGGTACACAAAAGGATTCCTGTAATTAATTGTTGAGTGAATTAATGATGATCTTCCCATTATTAAATATTAAATTTTTTCCCAAAATGAGGTCAAATGTTCTTACTAACTGCGTTTCATATTATAGACATATTTCCATGTCATTTTTACTCCTTTTATTGAGTATACACAGAACTTTCTAGAATATGTGTATATAATGCT